GGGGATGTATTTGTTCTGCCAAGCTTTTCAACTCAGTTTAATTTAGCTCTGTGAACTTGCCGTGTCTCAGGCTCCCTGGAATGTGTCAGGTGGGGTGTATTATAAATATGCATCATCTGATCTCAGAGTCTTGCTCAAAGGTTTAGCAGCAGAAAGAGTCCAGCAAGTGCTAACCCCTTTCCACTGGAGCAGGGTGACAATCCAGGTCACAGACAGGCTTACTTTGAGCTGGCATTGTACCAGGACAGGCTGCTTTATATCTGCAAGCCGTATATGCCTGTGAACAGGGATGCAGTTGAGTACCGAGGTAACATTAACTCCAGCAAGGCTGGCAGTGAGAAGAGCTTCAAAGCTGCCAGCATAAAGAAAAGGATCACGATTCCTTCCTATTGATTTGCAACTTGTCTGCGAGCGAGGCAGCGCGTTGCTGAGTGCCTTGGCCAGCCAGCCTTGAAATAGATGGGGATTTGTTTTGTGTGGGGAGGTGATAAACAGAAAGGGAACCCTGCTTTGCAATTGGTTACAGATGCAGGCAGATCTTTGAGCAAATGTCCTATCAGAAGAGGTGTATGTTGTCATGCTGGTTTTCTGCGAAGCATTGAGGGATCAGGTTGAAGTTAGGAGGAGGCAAAGAAGAGTGTGCAGCTCTGTTTGAGGAAAGTGGTGCTCAAATAAACCACAGAGCTCAAAGAGCTGCAGTGAGCTGGGCCCGGAGACTGACTCGGCTTCCAGATTTACCTGGGAGATGCAGGTTAGTGCATCAGCAATTAGATGGGGCTTAGGCTCTCCCTGGGGCAGCTGACTACATGGCAGACAGGATAGAAAGAAGACATTAAAGGTGTGAAACCCAAACTGCAGCAAGCACAGAACTGTCTGGCCAATCCCAGCTTTACATAAAGTCAATCCCATACAGGCACAGGCCCTTGGTGGGGATGTAATGTATCCCGCTCGCATGCTTTGATCCCAGCAACAGCCAGGCTGCTTCATGATGCAAATGTCCCAGCCATACAAGTAGCTGTAAGGAAAGGCACCTTACTTTCAAAAGAGTGACAGACCCTCCTCTGTCTCTTCTTTCCTTTCCCTTTTAGAAAGTCCTTCACATCACCCTCCACCAAGAGCAACTGAGTCATTTCCTCCGCTCTGGAATACCCTCCTCTGGAAGCTTTCCAGTTTATCCATCTTTGCCTCACTTCACGTTCCCTTTGGGAACATCTCTCTTGCTCTCCTGCAAGCTGGTTCTCCAGAGCTTTCATTGTTCCTCTATTATTATTTACTACTGCGCTCTGCAGCTGCACTATTTCACCCCATGGGCATAGCACGTGTGGACAGCTCTGTCCCTTTGTCTCTGTGCTTTGAAACACTACCATGGCTGCGTGCAGTAAATGTGAGCCACGGCTCTGTCCATACAGACAGAGCCCTGTGGCTGTTTGGACGAGGCTTTTTCCACAGCTATGAAGCTATGCCTCAGTTAAGTGCTGTGATTGTGGCCAATGCATCTCTCCAGGATGGACATTCTTGTCTAGTGGACATTCTTCACTTGTTTGGGAAATGGGAACAACAGACAGCACTGAACTTCTGGGTGTGATTTAACTGAGCACGGGGAGTGAGGAATTGCAGTATCAGCACCTCACACCGTGTTTTAATTGACCTAGCTGGTAGGAAGGTCTTCGTCTGTTACCAGTTGCTTTTGGAAACCCGGACACACGCACAAACACCCCATTGGGTGAGTGGGCAGGATGCTTTACGGATAGATAACCGCTTTTCTTCCTTTCCTCTGTCTTCTATCTCCAGAATAGCCATGGGAGAACAAAGTAACGAAGGAAACTGCTCTGAAAGAGACTGGGGGTGGAGTGTCCTTCTTTTCTCCTTAATTGTAACACTGTGAATTAATTCAGTTTCCAGCAGGAGTGAGAAGTTCCCAGCAGCCCTTAGGCATCCAGATAAGGCTGAGCTCTTCATTCAACCCCTTTGGGCTCTCTGGTACCAAGCTCACTGCCAACTGCTTCTCACTAACTTTTTGGAGAGTTTAAATTATCCGAGCGTGACACAGAGCAAGGGGTTTTGCATTCTTAATTGCCAAAGCCTTTTCCCACTCCAGTCTGGAGGCCCCTGAGCTGCCCTGCCAATTTATTCTGATCCTGATTCGCAAGCCTTGCAAACACCTTCCCAGGGCTGCACGAAAGCCCTGTCAGTGTAACTGAATCCTCATCTCCCCATTCTTAGCTTCTCCTGAGGCTTTCCTCGCGTCCTCCTGCTTCACTTACAGCATCCTTTCTTGCAGCCCCCTTGCCCTCCAGACAAGCCCTGTTGGTGCCTCTGGCTTTGCCTGTTAAGGAGGCAGTGTCCACAGAGGAAGGAAGGGCATAGGCTGGGTTGCAGGTGCTATGCTAGCCATAGCTCTTCCCCAGGAAGGGGAGGTTGAGGAAATAGGTAGGGATGCTGATGGAAGAAGGTTTAAAACAGGAAAAAAACCCAAAGCAAAAAGGGGGGAGAGAGGGGAGAGCCAGCAGAAAGGAAGGTCTCTCTCTACCTTTTCCATTTCTTTTCCCCTCCTCTGCACTTTCATGATCTCTCATTTATCTCCCTCATCTCTCAGTGTTTCCTCCTATTGACAGCAATGATCCCATTGCCTTTCACAGCTTCCTAGCTGGATTCCTGTGGAGATGTCACCACCACTTCTGCAGGTGGGCTCAGCCTGTCCTCAGGAAAGAGACCTGCACGTGTAGGGCAGGGCTTGTTGCTGTAGGACTGTGTCATTGTTTGGTATTTGCCATTCTGTGGAAGCAACACAGCCCCATCTGAGGCAGCTGTAATGGGTACCTACACCAGAATGTTCATACCTTGGCTTGGCAAGAAGGACAAGGTGTTAGACACCCCAAAGCATTCACAGTGCTCCTTTGTCCTTTCCCTCTCCTCATCCCCTTACTTTCTTTACCCAGTGCCCTCTATTTCTCTTCTGCAAACTGATGGCTGCATTTTCCCCTCTTTAGGTTTTCCTAGCCCTTTTCCACTAGTGCACAGCCCTGTTCAAGTTCCTGGAGGTTCATTTTGGCTTTATTTACTTCCTTTTCCCTCTTCTTCCTTCCATCCCTTTCCCCCACACACATATACACACTGCTGATTTACAGCTGTAGCAGGAGGCTGATGTTCTCTGCTCACTACCTGCCATCCAGAGAGCCATTAGAGGCCAATTCATCATGGAAATGCCCCAGCCAAAGTGACTGGAAGATTCTTTACCGTCGCTGTCCCTGGGGTTTGGATTGCAACACGTCAGCCTGAGCATGGCTGTAAGTGAGCTGTCTCAAGGCAGAAATATGATTTACAAGATAATGTGGCTTATGGAGAAAGGAAGAGAAAGCAAAGTGACTGCCACTGCTGAGGATGGTGGGGAGCGGAGCCTCACATGCTGATGACTACAGCATCACTTGAAGACACACAGCTCTAAGCTCTTAATTAATGAACAGGGAAGGTGTGGGATGCTGACTGATGGAGGCAAGAGAAAACCAGGTTTGCATGGAAAGGGGTGTGAGGGATCTGTGTCAAGACACTTCCCAGGGAAAATGCTCTCAGCATGGTGCTGGGAGTTCGAGTGTTTTGTACCGATGCAGTAAACATGCCAGTTCTCTGCTGTGCAATTTGTCAGTATTGACCAGAGAAGGGTTTTTCCCTGGGAAAGGTTTAAGCATCTCAGTTCACTTCTGGATGACAGGAGTGAATCTGAAAGGTGAAGAGGTGAGATGTGGGAACAGGCTCTTAGCAGCACGGCTCTGCAATTGCACCTGGTGTAAGTGATTTCAGGGAGCCCAGCCTTCAAGCTAAGCAAGCGATGAATCCATGGATATGAGGTGGGAGTGCATGGCAGATTTTCACCCTGAAATGGCCTGTGTAAGTTGTCCTGTGTGATTTGGGAATGTGTACGGATGTTTTATAACCATGCACAAGTGTAAGATGTGCCTAATTTTGAGACCTTGGGTTTAGTGGAGATACAGGCTACCACTATGATACCCAAAGCCAACTGCTGCAGAACGAGGTCAGTATAGTCCAGTATTCAGCCTCTAACAGCAGCCAGGGCATTAAGTACGAGAATTAGACGTGACAGACAAGTTCTATGAAACACCTTGCTCCCTCATCTCTGTCTCGCTCCCCTCCCCTGAATTCCTTTTCCTTCTCCTCCTCCTCCTTCTTCCTCCATTCCAATTATCTCCTTCTTTCATCACTGCCGGAGCTGTAAGTACAAAGTACCAATTAGCTAGTTTTCAAGTTTAATTAGGTTGGAAGGTAGAGCAAATTAAATCCTTTTATCGTATGTTTCAAAGCGCTTTCCCGTCAGGCCCATGGGATAGATTTCCTTTGAATGAGGTCCATGTTAGCCACTGAGGAGCTGGCCCAAGTCACCGAGCTCTCTGGCCATGAGGCAAAGAGGAAATGAAATGCAGGACGTGATACATCATCCCCTCGCCCCTCAATCCTCCATGCAGGACTTCTTTCTGGGATGGTTTAGGGGTGTACATAGCTCTACTCCACATTGATAAACTGAGCTTCGGTCCTCAGGTCTTCTAAGGTCTACTTTAATAGCAAAGCTCTCCTTCATTTCAGCAGTGCCAGGACTTCACTGAAGACACTGTGATAAGGCCCTGCAGAAGGCTTTCAAGATAGTTATTGATACTATTATCTCAAGCAGCACGTCCATATGAGTCCCACTGCACCATATGGGGGGTCATCTTGGAAGCACCTTTAGTCCCTAAGCCCTTCTTTCTTTGAGGACAGAACAAAAGCAGAACAGCAGGCCCAGGAATAACCACCTAATTCAAGGGGGAATTGCAGAATGGATAAGGAAGCGGTTAGCACTTGGAAACACATGGTCTGCAATTGCAGCTACAGAGTTCTGTGCCTTTTGAGCTCTGAAAACTACGTTTCAGCATGACCTTTGCTCTTAGCGCCTTACCCTTGTGTTGTCTGGTACCCTGACCCTCTTTCCTGTGCTTCCCTGTGTGTTGCAGATAAGCCACTACCTCAGGGTGCCCCAGGAGGCATTATTGGGATCGTGGGAGGTGTCATCGCAGCAGTCCTCATCATTGGCGTGGCTGTCACCGTAATTATTGTCTACAGGAGGCAACAAAAGGACCGCACTGAAACAGACAACGACCTGTAAGTAGCCCCGTGCTTGAAGTAGAGGATGGATGGGGCTACAGAGAGCACCGCAGGTCCTTCACTACCTGCACAGAGAAAAGCTGGTCAGCAAACTGGCTTTCCTGTCTGCCACCCCCTGGCTCACTCCTTTGACTCAGAGAGGGGTCTCTGATAGAGCCTGAGCACCTTGGATATCCCAAGGAATCCAGTCACAGGCGCTCCACGTTCCAGCTTTGTTCATGCGGTGCCAGCCTGAAGACCTGAACTCTGGCAATACAAGGGCAGGGCAAGGGGATGCCCCGGGGGCTCCTCTTTGACAGGTACTTGCTTTGCTCTGCCCTAGGCTGTGCAGCACTGATCCCAGGCAGGGAATTCGGTGGTGTGGACTTCAGGCTATGCAGCAGGAACAGAGCCCTCTTCAGAACTGTTTATCCTGGCCTCTTCCTGAAAAGCTCTATCTTGTAACTGCCTTTTCACAAGAGCACCCACTCCCTTCCTCCCCACTTCATCGGGGAGGCACAGAAAGCCCAAAGGCCAGAAGTTGCTTTTATGTTCCACAACACCCATCCTCATTGTTGATACATCTTGGCCACATTTTGTGCTCCATTTAGTCCCGTTTGAGAGAGGGCATTGGAGGATAAGTGGAGATGGGGGGGGGGGGGGGAAGAGAACAGGGAAAGCAGGAGGAGGAACAGAAAGGCACACAAACAAAACTACAGCACCACAAGGTGAAATTGCATCAACAGCATCAGCGCTAAGCTAGAGATGCATTCAGACAATCCACTTCCCACAATGGCCCTCCACACAGGCACAGTGAAGAGCCACTTTAGCTGAGAATAGAAACACAATGGTGCCCTAGTCTGCAGAGGTGCTGCCTCTATTGCCGTCTGCTCCAAAGGCTCCAAAAGGTAACAGCATTTCTTTCCTTTAAAGCCATCATGTCAATGCTTTGCAGAGCCTTGGGGACCCATTTTACCTTCCCACTCACCCCTACGCTCCGATCCCAAGCTAGAATCCATTGGGTTGCCAAGGAAAGTCACCCATCTCTGTCAGAAGATGTGGTGAAGATTGTACAGAGAGAAGGGAGGGGGAGGCAGCCAATTAGCGGATCGGGTTTAATAAGTTTTGTAAAGGGATTAGGCACATCCATGCATGTGATCAGAATGCGCAGAGGCAGTCTCTAGGCTGGGATTATAATGGCTGCCAATCCTTATGCTCTGGGGCAAAAGTTGATCCCCTGACTGGGGTCAGGGATGAATCCGCCTGCGTGGCATAGCACGTCTACAAGGAAGACTCAAAGCCCTACTGGGAAGCCTGTGACAGGGGTTGCCAGTGCAGGCAAGCTCCGGAACTGGGGGTGACATTACCCTGTTGATTTGCAGACGCTGCCAGACACTTCCTGGTACCCTACAGCTATACATTGAATGAGCCTCCTCCCATGGGATGGTTTGGAGCCATCCCAAAGCAGTGCTGGGAGACAGGTACCCCAGCTGCAGCTCAGGATCTGCAATCCGACATGGGGATTTGCTTGGAGTTAGGAACAGAATGCTGATTTCTATTAACACTTCTAATTGGGGTGAGAAGGAGGGCACAGAGGGGTTACAGAGAATAATGTATATGGTTATATTGGCAGTTTGGTGCCAAACACAACCCACTCTTTGGCGCATGCAGGATGCGGCTTGTCACGTACACCAAAGCAAGCAGACCCCTTTCCTCTCTAATCACTTCTTTACCTGCAGAATCGACTTGCCTCCATCCCACAAACCTGCCCCTCCACCAAAGAGGAAACAGGAGATGAAAAGCCACCTGACTGCAGAAGACATCCAGGTATGGCTCCCTAACCCAGCTGCAAGCTCCTTCCTCTGGCAAGGAAAACCGACTTCAAGCAGTGTCCGCAGTGGGAACACTGGGTTTGCAAGAGGAAAATCGCCCATGGCCTAAGTTTGAGGGTCAGAAAGTGAGGACTTGTCTGCCCGGAACTCCCAAAGTTTGGCACTATCTGAAAGCTATAATTGGGATCCTGCTTACTTTGGTGGGGATTGAGTTTTAAATGAGGTGGTGTTCAGATGAGAGCACTTCCGAGCATGCCCACCATTCTGAATGTCATGGGTGGTAGTGAGGGGTATGGGAATGAAAGAAAGAGAATGGGAGGCAAATCATATGGTTGGAGGAAGGGAGAAGGTAAGATGCACTGCCTTCCATGGTGATACCTGGTGGTGGTGCAGATGTGGCCCTGAGCTGTGACAGAAGAACAGTACTTGCTCTTCTCATCCCTCTTCTCTCTCGTCTGTTATAGGTTGTTCACTTAGACAACATGAAACACGAGGAGGAAATCCAGAAACTCCCTCTGCAGACTCCATACTACGACATGGCAGCCACCGAGCCCTCTCCCTACACTGACAAACTGGTAAGGAGATCAGGGAGCTAATAGTGCTGCCTGGCCCCATCCTCACTGCCTTTCACCCTAAACAGCAAAAGAGCCCCACCACCCACGGGTGTGAACAAACAGCCTTCCCAATATAGGAGTATCCTCTCCTGGAGCAAGGCAACCTCCACACTCCGATCTGAGCCCACCTCTCAAATACCACTGATGCTAATTCAGCACTTGCCCCCTTTGCTGTTGGTTTCTATAGGTCCTAGAGCTGCGCCTTATGGGTCAATCCTCTATAAAATACCCTGTAATTATCCACGGGGCTGAGCATGCCCGTGTTTGGCTCTCAACTGACAACCAGCTCTTTAAACCCCCTTTGTGTGGATTTGCTCAGCCCCAGAGAGGGAGATGCTAATGTGAGGCAGCAGCAGCAGAGGGATACTAGCAGCCATGCAGGAAAGGCTGGTTTTCAATGACTGATGCTGAAGGAGGAAATAGTAGATTCAAAGGGCAAAGTCAAGGGAAGCAGAAGACAGGCAGAGTGAGAGTCCTCCCCGAGGAGAAAACATAAAACCTTCCTCCTCCAAGACCTTGGACTATATCCTTTCCCTCCCTCATTCCATGGCATGGGGCTGCTCCCCTCATCCTTCATGGGAGACATGGGGTCCCCATGTTGATGCTGCAGGTCTCTCTCAAATTCTTCCTCCAGGAGGGCTGATTCACAGTGCTCCACACCAAGAGCGGTGCTTCTCAGTCTCAGCAACGTGAATCCATTTGCCTGAGAATATCAAGTATAAATATCAGCCCATAGCGGAGTAATATTTTATGAACCTAACTAATTATAAACCCTCCCTCCAGTTCATCCTGGTGTGACCCTTTAATGCATATTCCTGTGCAGGTAATAGAAGGACAGGGCCCAGTGACCTTTAGCTAGAAGAGGTCTGCAGCAAGGCAGATCCTGAGGGTACTGGAAATACAAAGGTACAGCTCCGTACTGAGCCGTGTTGATGTGATCCTATTTACTTCACTCTAGCTGAACCTGACTGATGTCCCTAAAGAAAAGCTTCCCTTTGGAGTCCTCCCTCAGTCCCGGGGCTTGTCTCTAGCTCTTTCTAATCCTTGCTGAGTGGTAGCTGAGCTTTAAATGAGGTACAGGATGCTAGACTGAGATGGACGGCTTTGTGGGGAGCATCTGAGAGCCAAAATTCAGGCAAGCAGGAGGATGGAGGAGCTCATTTCAGGAAATAACGAGCAGTCAGTTAATTAAGTGGCAGAGTTAGTGATGTGAGATGGGGCCTGATGGGTAGCTGCTCTGTAACCATGGGAACAGAGTTTGCTGCTCTCAATTCTGGTCTGAGAAGATGCATTTCTCTGCCCCATGCTTGGCACTCGCTGCTCCTTACCCGTGGCTTTAGCCAAGAGGTGATGGACTGTGGAGCCCTCGTTTCATTTGGCCCATGAAGGAGCTCCCTGTGCAGTAGGGATGTGGTGTCTGGGTGACTCAACCACCGCTCTGCCCGCTCTTGGCACAAGACTAGCACAGCTGTGCATTGGACCTGTCCCCTGGTCAGCTTGGCTGGCAGTCCCTCCGAGTGGCATCAGGCTCCCCCATCGCGTCCACACACCACGCTTTGGCTTCTCGCCGCAGGAACAAGATGAGGCTCGCTCCCATTTCTTGCTAAATCACTGCATCCTTTGGGCAGACAGCAGGCTATTCAGGTTCGTGACTGGCAAGGGGAAGGAGGGTGTGGGTTTGCTGCCAAAGAGTGCTGGTTTTGCTGGATTCTGCCCAGATAACACAGGCAGTACGCGCTGCCACAGCCAGCACCAGGTGTGCATCACGTTGCCCATGTGCAAGGAGCCAGCGCTTGCCCTCCCCTCTGCAGGACCACTCGCAGGCATCACCCCTAAAGCATGGCAAAGGCTTCTTGTTCCTGTCACACACATTCTCTTCCCTGCAGAGGGGATGCTGAGGAGCGTCTGTCTGGGATAGCACTTGCATGGAAACCTCCAGGGATAGTGATGGTTACCAAAACCAATACCAGCACGCCTGGTTCAATCCCAGTAGTCACACTCCACCAGCATGCTAAGGGGCTGATCAATGCAAGCTAGACCTGCACATTCCTTTTTGCCTGAGAGCTGGGTCAGCTGGAGGATGAGGAGGGAAGCACATTTCCTTCAGCTTCACTGGTTCTCTGCCAACCTCACTTTGATACAGCCCCTCTCCCACTGTTTTCAGATGCAGATGTAGGCAGCTGCTCTGCTATATAGGAGGTTCTGGGATCCTTTAGAGGGGAAGGCACAAAAGAAAGGCAGGCTATTCTTGTTCTGCATGTACTTCATCAGGAGATTTGGCTTGGGAGGGTAGTGAAGAAGATGAGAGTTGAAGGGAATGGATTCTGCAGGAAAATGGGGCGGGTGCATTCAGCTTTCAACGAATTGTGCAAAACCTCGTAATTTGGGATAAACCAGATTCATCACAAGGCGGCATGAAAGCCACTGCCTGGGGTTGACTATTTCACAGCACTAGAATGGGAGTCAGAAAGTGATTAGAGGTGGCAAAGAGCGAGGGCAGGGGAAATGGCAGAGGTGCCAGGAGATACGAAGGCAAGTGGAGGAGGAATGCACAAAGAGGGTGTGCAGGTACATGTGGATGTGTGCAGATGCACGCTGGCAGGGGAGCAGGTGAAGGGGACAGGCTGGGGCAAGTCTGCAGGGACAAGATACCTGCACAAGGGAGCAGGGATGGGCCCCGTGTCAGAGGCTGTAAGTGAATATGTGTGTTGCAAACTGTAGGAAACAGCATGAGGCTAACAGCACAGAAATACACAAACATAGTGTAGGATAGCACAAGGGCGATGGGGTTGCTTGCAGCATTTGTCTCTGAGCTCTTGTAGGGTGAAAGCTGTGATGTATGCAAGGATATCTAAGCAGGAGTGAATGGGATGGAAAGGCAAGTGCGTGTTTCAGGTAACAGCTACAAAGGCCATGCATGCCAGAGTGCTGGTACCCATGTGTGTCAGTGCACAGAGTAACACGTGCGTGTGTACAAGTGTGCTGTGTGCCTGTGTGTCACGTAGATCCTGTGGGTATGCGTGTGAGAGGGAGCATGAGCAAGAGAGGTGGAAGCACACTTGCATGTAGGAGCAGAAGTATGATTGGTGTCCATGTCAGCGATACCCATTTGCACAGGTAGAAAGGAAAGTTCCATTGCTATAGACAGCAAAATAAGTCCTTTCGGTTTACAGGGCAATTACCAGGGTGCCGATGCTGGTGATTTACACAGAGCACTTGCATGTGGCGGTGCTAGGCCTTGTATACAAGTCACATTATTGATATTGTAATAATTTCTGCTCCAAACAAGCAGCACAGAGCAGGAGCAAGCCTAAGAGTGGCAGAAAGCAGGGGATGTCCATGGAGAAAACACCCCCAGTAGGAAAGAAGCACTATTTAGGAGAGAAGTGAGGCAAAGCAGACAGGATACAAATGTAGGAGGTAAAGACTTAGTCTGCCTTTCTCTGGGACTAGAAGAGGTACTGAGATACAAAGGTCATGGGGAAAGTTCTACAGGGCATAGGTTTAGGTTTAAGAATGGAGTTGGCATCACTTGCTTTTTCAAACATCCATAGACACGAAGCAGAAAGGCCATAGGACACACAGCTTTTGCACCAACAGCTCGGCACTGCTGTCTGGTCACCTCCCCAATGCTGGGACATAGGGAGGACCTCAAGCCTTGTGGTCCTCCAGCATGCAGCCTTGCTGAGCACCACAGGGGAACTGGATACTGGAAATACCACTGCAGCAGTGCTCCCCTTTCCCCTCATCCCTGTGGAACCAAACCCTGTCACAGAAGAGCACAGCAGAGAGAATCACTGACTGAGTAACCCCTTCCAGCAACAGGCACTGAAACAGCTCATTATAGGGCTATAAACTTCCGAGAATGGCTCTGCCACAGCTGGTATGTGGCTGAGGATGCTTCCAAACAAAGAGAAGAGAACCATTTTCAAATTAAACACCTTTTGCATAATTGCCAAGTGATGCAGCCATTTTGGAGAATGGAGGGAGAAACTGGGAAGTGATTTCATTTGGAAGAGACAACTCTTCTCAGAGAGGCTTAGCAGACACTTGGCTAAGGCTGGAAGAAGAAACCAGGCCCAAAAGCCAGCATTAAAGAAACTCCATAGGGCAAGTAGCCAGTGTATCCCCTCCCACCTTCAATACTGACACCAGGGCTCCTCCTGGTGACTAATTTTCCCCATTAAGCAGTGAAGTTTCCAGGGCATTCTGCCTTTCAGGGTTCTCCAACCATTACTATTTGTAAGGTATGAAAGATGTCTGATCAGTCCTGCTCAAATTGGATAATATTCCATTCATGCACTTCTTGCTGATAAGCCCGCTTAGTAAAGGGATACCCATAAATATTTTCATGGCAAAGAAGGATGCTTTTAGCACCTATTAGACATTATTACAATGACAATGTCATGCTGCATAGCAGTGTCATTTCCCTATAGTAATGCATCCGCTGCAAACCCACTCATGTCTTTGACCACTGCCTCTAGGAATCTCCTTCTTGACACCCAAAGTTCATGATTTTCACTCATGTCCCCAGTACTAATGCATTTGCATCCGGTGTGCTGCAACGAACCCCAGATTCCTGGGTCAAAACTGACAGCTCAGATATCAGATAAAGTTTGGATTCACTGAACCACCCCAGCTAAGGAAAACGTTGATCCTAGAAAGGCTCACGGGAGGACAAGAGCAGCGAGATGCTGCTTGGGGCAGATGCTACCAAGCTGGGCTGTGTCACTCAGCTCAGTGGTGGAGGGAGCAGTGCCATTGGGACCTTTTGATTTGGGATTTTACCTGACTGACTGTTCATCACCTCCCCACCTCCCTCTTTTTAACTGGGTTTTTTTTTCTTCCTCCCCCCTCTCACCCTTTTCTCCTTTCTCCCTCCACCCTTCACACACCCCCTCCTGTCTCCTTCACTCACTCCCCACCTTCTGCATGGTTCCTGTGTTCTCACTCCCGTGCCTCCCCACTTCAACCCCGACTCCTCCCTCTTGTGTCCCCACCACGTTGCTGCTCTCTTCTCTCCAGAACCCTGGCAACAAGGACTGTGATGTCCACTATGCAGAGCTGGACACTTCCGCTCTGGCCTCGTCACCCAGTCCTCGGACCTCCATCCATGCTGGCGGAGACCTAGTCGAGTATGCAACTATCCAGCCCAACTTACGCTAGCGCATGTCACTCTAGGCCCTTTCCCCTCAGATTCTGGCCTCCAGGTACATGATCACACTCTGCCTTCCTCACTGCTCCCCTTTGAAGTCAGTGCCTCCCCCCTGCATCTCCTTCCCTTCTGTGGAGTGGCTCATATGCATCAAATCCATCCTCATCCTCCTCCCTCCACCCTCCACCTCCTGCATGCTGCCCACAATGGCCGGTCCCTTTGGTACCCTTGTTCTGGGGGCACTGACAGCAATGCCTTTGCCTTGTCTTGCTTCCCATGCATGCTCTGCAGTGTTTTCCTTTGCTTTATACGGTGAGGCAAGGCACGTGGGAAGGGGAAAGGGTTAATGGCTTTGTTTCAGAGCAGGGGTCTGCTCCGTCTGTGGCTGGAGACACAGGGAGCAATGAGGTGGGTTTGAAGGGTACAGCTCTTGGGGTGGGATTTGGTCTCAGGGATTTCTATGAGGCTCAACAGTGTGAAGCAGAGCAGCAATACCAGGATGTGCAGAAACCTAAAACCTTGTGGGGATGTTAAGAGGGCCTTCCAAGATAGTCAAATACAAGAGGAGAGAAAGGAAAGGGGCCTTACTGAAAGGAAAAGCAAAACAAGGAGCTTTGTGTGAATGGAAGCAACTATAGATAAGATGGAGCATATGTGCATGTGTGAAAGAACAAGGTGGGAGAGGATGTGAGAGGATATGAGAACACATAAAGGTTCCTACATCTAAAAGAGTCAGTGAATAAGAGACAGACAGAGAGGAACCACGGATGTTAAAATAAAAGAGCTTGTATTGTGCGGGGTTGGTGCAGACAGTGCATTTCAATGTCTGAAAGAGGGAGAAAGATTGTTTTCTTTGGAGCTCTTCTCAAAATTGGATCCCAGACCTCACTGTTCCCTTCTCTTATGCTTTTCTGACCGCTTTAAGTGTCATCAAGCTCAGGTCTTGCAGCAGGGGCTGATTAGGACTCAGCTTGCATTTAAACCTTCAAGTGGTTGTTCTGGACTATCCCTAGCTACCAGTGACCCTTTGAAAGGGAACAGTGTTTGCAATGTCTTCAGCGCTTCTTATTGCCTTCCCCTATAATCATACCCTCTTCTTGGTTATTAAAGCCAGCAGGTCTCTTTCCTCTCCCACCCCCTGGGAGATATTTTCTGGGTGATACCAACAGCTGTTGGCCAAGGAAATTCCATTAGCAGCCCCCTCCTTGCCTATAACTCTCCCTTGCTCCTGGGTATTCGCAGAGTTTGGCAACTGCAGCTCCTTCCCTTTTATTTTACTCCCTTTTAAACTGGAGGAAGGGGCTGTAGATTTAATGGGGCTACAGCCACACAGGGGCACTCAGTGAAGAGACAGGGAGACAAGGAAGAAAGCAAAGGGAGAGATAAGGTGCTTTGCAGCTCATCGAATCCCTCCCGTGTCACTCAGAGCAGATCATAGGAGGCACAGAGTAGCTTGGGGATGGAGAAAGGTGATTTGGTAAAGAGCAAGGGAATTGTATCCTTGAGGAGGAATAGTTCTATGCAGGAAAAAAAACAGTGTCCCATTGGACATACATTGATTAGTGCCTCCTTGCAGGCTAGGAACATCCATGCTAAGAGGTGGGTGAAGGTGGAGCACAAAGACCAGGGTAGGTGATGTGCAGTGGGTTAGCTCAGTCTGCCTTTATCCCTGTGGTCCCTGGTGTTCCTGTGTCGGAAGCAGCCCTGTAGTTCCCTTGCTGTAGCAAAAGCCTTCCTAGGTAAGTGTCTGCAGCAGGCCTGGCCCGGACCAGAACGGTAACCTCTCTCTCTTGCGGTGTCTCACCCACCCCTGCTCCCAGAATGAGGATCAAGGTCTTCGTAGACGTAACGAGCGAGAGCGGACAGTAAGTGCTGACTTGGTTTGGTTTTTCTTTCTCCATCTGGTTGTGGGATCTGTTTGTCACTGGAGACAGGTGCTGACAGCTCCCAGGCAGCAGCACCACCAGCCTCTTGCATACAGGGAGAGGATGGAAAAGCCAGCCCAGAGCAAAATGCGGTCGGAAGCAGCACCTCCAATTCCCAGCAGTTTCTTGGACTGCACTGGAGGACCACTAGACAAGTGCTCCCTAATCCATCTTGGGAGGTCCTGCCTTGTCCTCCCTGGGGTGGGGGATTTTATTGTCAGCGAAAGGACAGTAATCCTCCAAATCCAAAGTGGGAAATCCTCCCACTTTCTCTGAAGTAAAAATAAAGCCAGTCATATGGTGCTTTGAAGGTGTAATCTCACCGCCACAAAACCTCCCTCCTCAGACACGCCGTAGAGCAGGGAGATGGTTTTGTGCTTTTCCAATGATGTCTTAACCACCTAATGTAGCAGACCTGACTCAATTCCCAGTTAATACACTTCCCTCCTAGCAACACCCGGGTCAGGAGCCCCCTTTTCAGTTTGCAGGAGAAATAAAGCAAAGAGCTCAGGTGGCTCCTTGCTAGTTTCCCATTTGTACATGAGGATGACAGCCCTGCTCTGACCCCAAAAGGGTGGGCAGAAGGACTCAGGAGAGAAACAGCAAGGAGGGATACGTTTAAGGTTATTGTTGGTCTAAGACCCTATAGGAATGCACAACAGGTACGTACTGTAGACAGCAAGAGAATGTTCAAAGCATGCTGTAAGAAGGAATGCAACTTTAAGAGCAAGTTTTCTGTGTAACACCTGCATGTGTCTGTGGGTGCATTGCTCATCGTAGGTCCTTGCCCTATATTGTGGGAATTTCAGCCTTCCTCACACTCACCTTTTCATTTTCTCTTCCCACTTGCTCTCTGTTTTGTCCTCACAAAAAGGAGGACACTCCTAAAAGCAAGCTCAGGGCTACTTGTTCCTGCTCATCCCCGATAGGTTGATGTTAATTCTTCACTCCAGACAATGATTATTCGAGGAGGATGTGAGGATCCCAGCACCACACTTAACTGCTGCTTATTTTCAGTTCCCATTATATTTTCCATCTTCCAACACCTACATCCTTTCCACAGGCTGGTCCACACTATGACAACTGTCTTCAGTTGCTGCCACTCAACAGAACTGCTTCTTTCTGTCCATCCCAAAATTCAAAACCAACTCATGGAGAGGGTCGGGACAGTGGCAGCCCAAAGTCTGAATAGTTTTGCACTGCAGGGATTTTTCCCACTCAGGGAACAAGCTGATACATCGGATCAGTGCATCAATGTGCAATGTGTTTGCCTTGTTTGGCCAAGCAGAGGAAAAACAGCCTACTTCTGTTTGTGAGCCGTGCTGCAAGACTAAAGACAAGTTTAAACTGCATGAGAGGTTATTAATTGGCTCTTGAGCTTTTGAGCAATAACAGAAACCCAGTTCCCTGTAGCGGTATCTTTCCAGCTCTCACATGTTACCAGAGTCTTCAGGTTTTCCTGAAACTATAGCAGAGGAATCCTCCAGACCCCAAGAAGGAGTTTTTCACTTTTGGAGCAGCAAGAACTCGTTATTTTGGGACGATTAAAGGTACAGGATATGGTCAGATCACAGGGAGAGCTGTCTGTAACACACCTAGTTTTACCAAAGAGATAGAGAAGAAAAGGCATATAGGGGATGGAGAAGTGTTGAGAGTAAGTCATGGCAGAAATGAAAGCTAATTCAATCAAATAAAGACTGTTTAAAGCTAATCTACCAGGCTGTCTGAAATGGATAGATTACTGACATCCCCTTTAATCAAGCTCTTGAAAATAAAACTGAGAGGGGAGGATGTAACCCAGATAATGAAGAATGGTATGGAATCACGCTGGAAACAAAGACAAGTGGGAGAAGTCAGGTGGGGGAAGGTGGCAGAATCATGTGCCAGTTCGATTTAATTAGTTCATTATCCCTAATTTAATTTCAAACTTTTGTTGAAGAAAAATTAGGTTTGGGAAAAGTCACAGTGGGAATGGGGAGGGAAGTCAAAGGGCACCAGCTGCTAAATATGTTAAAAAACATCAGGCTGGTCTCTCTCTCTTCACTTTTGCCAGTTAGAAATGAGATCAGGGAGCAAATGGAGCAATGTGGCTCCTGGCTTCACATGCTGCAGGAAGGTGAAAAGAGACAGGGAAGTCTCTTTCTTTGATCCCGATGCTGGTGTTCTCCAGCTGCCCTGCTCTGGCCACACTCCAACCCCTGCAGAGTGAAGAAAGAACTTGCTCCTACACTCACCTGGCCAAACTGAAGTACTGACAAAACGTTGCTTATTTGCTCTAGTCCTACTTCATAGATGCTTGTTTCATGCCCACATTAACTGACAGATAAAGAGAAAGAAATATGCTTTACTAACACAGTATATTGTCAATAGGCAGCCCATGAAACAGTGTCTCATGACCCCTTCTGCTTCTTTCAATGTTAGATGCTAATACCCAGTGCTCCATCCCTGGCAGCATTCAAGACCAGGTTGGATGAGGCCTTGGGTGATATGATTTAGTGTGAGGTGTCCCTGCCTATGGCAGGGGGTTTGGAACTAGGTGATCTTTAGGTCCTTTCCAACCCTAACTATTCTATGATTCTATAAGTTAACTTACGTTAACTCATCTTTCCTGTTAGACCTTTCTGTGTATTAGACATTTTGAGTGCACATACTAGGATGAAGCTGTATACTTTTCTGTTGCATGCTCAAAAATCATATAAAACCACCCTACCATTTAATTGATAAAAGATTGCTCGCCTTCCTAAAAGACCCTTCTTGCCTGCTACATCTAAGTTTCAATCATTAAGACAGCTTCCCTTTCAGGTTAGTTCTACCCAGGTAGTTGAGCAATCAGTTAATGATTTACCTCTATAATAATGCAGGAGAGCATGGCTAATAATTTTTCCCCCTTGCAGGCATGGAAAGAAGCTCTGTTGCATTTGAGACTCCTTAAGAGTAGATTAAGCATAGAAAAACCATTTACCCACTCTCTGCTAGCCAACACTCTCCAGAACCTGTTAACCTCTCTTTATCCCTTTTTAGCAGCTGGCTCAATCAGAAGAATAACAAAGAGCTGTTCTTTGTTCTCTGCTCCCCTTATGGTATGAATCCCTCTTAATGCTATAGAATTTGTATGAAGATAACTGTCTCCAGGCTTAAGTATGTGTTGCCATGGCCTACCTAGTTTTCTAGCCACAGGGTTGTATGTGTACAGAGTAAATCTGACTCTGTAGAGGCCTGAACTTCCTCTCTTAAGTTTAGCTGCCACTTGGAAGGGTGCCTTAAAGCTGCAGGAAGAGGTTGTAGAGGTTAAGGTGGAGTTAGTGAAGCTTCCTCATGTCCCCTGGCTTGGGTTCCTCCAGTTTAACAGCTATAATGCTGCACAGCACCTCTCCACGTGTTCACTTGGCATTTAAAAGCCAGAAGTGGATGAAACCCTCAGGAGGTAGCTGTGGGAATGGCCCACCTAAATTGCAGATACCCATGCAGCAATTCTAAATAGAAGGGGCCAAGAGCCTTTTGTCCTTCGTTATGTGGCCAGGTCAAGATCACTGACTTTTTAACAGCTGAAGCGATGGGATATAGAGTTTTGCCAAGGAAAGGGGAATGAACATCAGTTTGGCCTTGGCATTGATGCAGTTTTCCTGGTGCTTAGACAAACCTCCCATCCTTTAGCAGCTTTCATTGCTCTTAGTGAGGCTGTTCCTGACGCTGCACTAGCTGTGCAGCCCTCCGACTCGCTTGTAGCCTCTTCGAGCAGGCTGGACCATCAATAAATTATTGTCGACACTTCATTTTCTATCAGATTTTTTAAGCACCCTGGTGAAATATTTATCCAGGAGCTGGCAGCAGACGAGCAGAGTAGATTGTTCTGTTCCTTCAGGCGTTTTCTCCTGAGGGTCACATCCTTGTCCTTTCCACTAAACTGACTGTTTCTGGTGCTTTGAAAGGGAACAAGGAAGGACTCAAGGGCAAGTTACTTGCTTCAACCAGCCCCCGTCCAAACCACTGGCATAAGAGGTGATTGCTAATGCATTTGCTCTCTCTTAGAGGACAGATTAGCAACTGAATGTGGGTTGATTTTAAAGACCGAAAGCGCTGTCCTCGCTAGATGTCCCTCCTGCTTGGGTCATCCCGTAGGGCTCCAAAAGGGAGTGAAGGGTCTGGGAGCAGGGAGGAATCCTTCCCATCTGCTGCCACCCTCTGGGGAGCCGGAGTCCTGGGCTCTGCGCTCCTCTGAGCTTACACAGGCGCGGAGCAGAGGGGTCTGTGTCTCCTGGTGCTGCTGTTTGCATGGACAAAAAGGGTCTCTGCAATACTTGCACCTCAACAAGCAGCCTTTCTTCGGTATTGCCTCTGCAAAATTACCTCAATGGAAACCAAAGCATTTCGGACTCCGAGAGGGGTTCATTTCATTTGGCTTCATTTAAGAACGCATCCATAAGAATGCACTCCATCAGAGGGAAGATCGTGGGACCACAGAGCAGTCTTAGTCTTGAGAGCGCTTTGCATTGATTTGACTTACAAAACTGGCCCCAAGGCTTTTAGTGGGATTGCTCACACGGGTAAAGCTTAGCACATGCACTCCTGTCTACCAGGTAAACATTACACACATATTTTGCCTCTGAAGTCCCTGGTCAGATACATGTGCCCTTTAAGTAAAAGAACATGAGCCTGAGTCAGATTAATGATGCATACAAGCACTGCTTTTTCAAAGCTCAACTGTGAAAGAGTTAGGAAGCTTGAAAAGAAACTGTCCTTGCTTGGCCAAGTGCTTATTTTGTCCAGAGGCGTTTGTACATTTACAGACAAGGGGCAAACCGTGCAAAATCTATCCATGTTCACCAGCAGGATGGATATTTCAGGAAGGGAGACGATGAGTTTGGAATGTGAGGATTTATCACCTGGGTTTCTGTTTTTCTGAAGCAGGAAGCAGAACTGTTTAACTTTCCATCCTTCTTGTTCTACGCGTCTCAGCAAGGAACTGAAGGAGTTGTGTGCTTTATGGCCACTGATGCCAGAGTTCTCACCCATTGACTTTTGTCTCTGCTTCCAGAACTTTGGAAAGTGTCACTCAGAGGTATCGAATGCGAGTGATTACCTGACCCGCTGCTACTCACATGAAGATCGATATCTGGAGAAGATCCCTCACGTTTACACCCCTATGTCAGATCTTCCACAAGATCTTTATCCTCATCATCCGGACATCTCCTTCTGCTGCCCACCTCCTGGCTCCCGGGCTCCTTACATCTGTCCTAAGGAACAGTATGTTTAAACCATCAACACTGCAAAATGAAGAAGCTGATGTTTCTCACTTCTCCTGGGCCAGTCGCTCAACAACCAAGGCCTTTTAGATCCCTCCTTTGCCATCGCTTGTTTCATTTATGGCATTTGAAATTGGGGTGCGATTGTAACTGACATGGTTAGGTTAAGTATCTGCCTGGCTTGCTTATGCTCAAGGGAACACTCTGCCATCGCCCACATCACATTCAGTACTTGCATCTTCCTTTTCTCACCCTGGCCCTCCTGCATCAAGCTAGCTCTGTGCGTGCATGTGTGTGTGTGGGTGACAGCTGCCCTGTGTTGGATGGGATGTGCCCAACCTGATTCAATGCCCGTAGGTTCCCTTGTGCCAGTCTCTGCACTGTTTGCACCAGAGTAGCTGGGTGTGGATTCTTCACAGCCCTTGTTTCAGCTTGGGTGAAGTTTTACAGCACAGCCAGTGCTAAATCTGAGGCTGTAGCAGGGCTTTTCCCCCTCCTTTGCAGAAATTTTTTCCTCCTTGGCAATGGGGATAGGAAATCCCTGTTGTGAAGAGCTAAACAGCCAAGATTGCTGAACCAAATAGTAAGATGCTTATAATGAAAGATGCTCAAAACCGACCTAAGAATAGAGACAAGGTCTTGGTTTAGGGGTTTTGTTTCTCTCCCTTTTCCCTCCTGCTCCCACTCCCAATATCTTGGATTGGCTCTTTTAAATCCAGATGGCATGGGGATATATTTTGAAGCCAACACATTTGGAGAAAGCATCCTTTAAATAGCCATCTTATAACCCAAAACCCAAAGGGAAAAAAAATATAGGAAGGAAAACATTCTCTCTAATTTTCCTTTTCAAAGCCTAATGTGACCCCCCACTAGCATTTCCCCCTCTCTTCCTTGCATCTGTTGATTGGAATTTCAGAATGAACTCAGGCAGAATATAAAGAATAAATCACAATTTCAGGTAATCCTCTTGCTCTTAATGAAGGATCAAAGCCAAGAGCAGAATCTGGCCTTTTAACTTTTTTCTAAAGCATCTTGGTTCTTGGGACTACAAATCTTTTGATACTGGAATGTGTGTGAGTGTATAAACGCAAACGTGTATATTCCTGTGACCACAAAGTGTTTTAAAGAATGGAACTCATCTCCACCTCACATTTGTGTTCACTTGTATTAGAGTAAAAATAAATATAGATGCACACTTAAATGTGTATAAAAGCAAAGAAGAGGAGAAAAGGGCATTAACATCCTGTCTGAGAGCTTGGCTTCAAGGATAACTTTCATCTGTTTCACCCAGGTATGGCATAGAAGAGATGACGGCTGGGACAGTTCTGAACAAGGGATATGCCTTCTTGGCGAATGGGCATTTACTTCCCCTTGTCTCAGGTTGGGTATTTGGCAGTCTGCAGACATTGCACACTTAATATCACTCTGGAAACCATGAAGATGTTTGAGCAAAATGCATGTGGGAGGGAGAGCTGGGAACCACACCATTATCCTGTTGCCCATACACCGATAGAGTGTCAGTGCTACCTGCACAAATAAGAAGGGAGCTACCAAGAAGATGAAACCTTCCCCATAAGAGGAGGTATCACTACTGCATTGGATGCTTCCAGCCCAGCTCCTGCTGTGCCACATGGACTGAGGCACCATGTTATTTTTGTATCTCTAAATCTAAACAGCTATAGTTGTTCTATGCACTTTCTGTGTTCCCATCATCTAAAGCAGCCTCAAGACTCACCCTGCTTGACCCTCTTCCTCCACGGAGAAGCACATCTGTGTTCACACTACCTCAGGGATTCCCTGCAGGCTAATAAATAGATCTGTATATAAGAGAGATGTTCATACTTCAGTTAGGCAATACAGCACTGCATGAGGATGACGCCACGTGCATGGGTCCCTGCATGGCATAGAGCACACCCTCGGGGAACCAACCCTCCCTCTTCCCCTGCTTCCCTGGTGCACGTTGCCACTTTGTGCTTTGTGGAGACAGCATGGAAGCTGGTCGCAGGGACAAGGTTGTTGTCTCTGAGGTGGGAAATGGCAGGTAGTTTCCTGCTGGGACGTGGTTCTACGCTGGGTTGAGAGGCTGTTGTATCAGGTGGGTGACCTGGCTCTGCCTACCTGGGTGAGGCGTGGATGAAAGGGCACTGATGTGTTTCTTGGCCAAGATGAAATGGCCAGTACCTCTGACAGGCAGAGCGGCTTTCATACGTGCTAGTGCATGGAGCACTCTCATTCCCAGAGGATCAGGGCACTGTACAGACATAGCCTTCGAGCATTAAACACAACTTTTCCAATACCATCCTTTTGGTCTTGACCGATGAAACCCTTTTCAGAGTAATTTGGATTCACATTTCCTCTGCCAGTCTCTAGGGAATTCAGCCAGTCATTTCCTTACAGCAATGGACTCGAGTGCTACGTGTCTTGATTCAGATAATGTATTTCTCTCTCTTGTTTTCCTCTCACCATACCTTAAGGTACTTTCTGTTTACCACAGAGCTGGAAATTGGGTGTGCTCTGAACTGAACTGGAACCACAACCAACACACTCACCTTGGCAGGGGAAACATGGAGTGTGACAAACATGTCTTGGGTCACTCCGTTTGGAGAGGTGACGAGGTGCTGGAAAATCCAGGGGTCTCTGACATCCTAGAATCAACCCGGTGCCACTGACCATGGAGAAAAAGCAAGGAAAAGTCCATGAGACACTTCCCTACTGGCTTGCCTGTGATAGCAGGATGCTGCCTGCACAGCGGCAATTAAAGTAGATTTGACTGGGAGCCTTCACCTGGTGCACTTTCAGACTGATCTAAGAATATAAATGAGAAGTGAAATACAGTCAGATCTTCAAATACATAAGGGACCATTTTCCAGAGGAGGCAGGGAACACGATGCAGGTGGTTTTCTGTGCTGCCTGTGGCTGGAGACATGATGCTTTGATAAGGAAGTGGAAGGCAGAGATATGGACTGCAGCGTTACAGAGAAACCAGTTGCCTTGTGCAGCTTTGAATCACAGCCACAAAGGGGTTTACTGTGCTTTCCAGCAAAGGAAAAGGATTTCAACCCATAAAAGCATAAATTCAAGCAGTAGTTTGACTTGTGTCAGCACCTATATTAGGTTTAGGAATGTCTTGGTTCTCTTTGCCTCTCTTCTCCTTAAGACCACATTGGTCTCCAAAAAAAATGGCAAAAAAAGAGCCTCCACACACCACCAAATTCCTTTGTACCCTAGGAAAAGGAGGGGGAACCCCTGCAGAAAGCCCCTGCTGAAGGATACGGTGTGGTTCAAGTCCATTGTTTCAGTTTTATAAAGCTGCATTTAGAAATGGTTCAGAGTCAGGGCTCTTATTCCTCCCTCCATTTCCTTACAGTGTCTGCCTAATGGCTGTTCCCAGACTTCGCTGCACTTGTTGCCATGGGCTTAACACTACCTACCCATGTCTGGGGTGACCCTGCAGGCACAGAAATCCTAATTAGCAATGCTAATGAGAGGTGTTCTCCTCCTGCCATGGTGCAAGTAAGATCCCTTCTCCGGGAACAGAGCCATCCAGTAGCGTTGTTGGGTGTAGACTGCCAAACAAGTCGAACAGGAAACTGGTCCAGTGTGATCATGCACCCAGTGGGCTCGCAGTACATGGGAGAAATTGGTGTTCTATTCCCATGTCTGACTGGTGTGAGACATGAAGCCGTTCTGCCTGTTACTGGGGTGAAATGTCATCATTTCTGCTTCGTGTGTTGGCGGCACTGACACCCGAGCTCTTGCAGATGGAAAAGACTGATCACAGAACTCAAATAAAGATGAACTGAAGAGTTACAGCTTCTCTCGTAGCTGTGAAACTTGTGTGAGGTGCTTGATCTCTTCCTCTCGCCCGGTGCTGGCTTCCTCCTGAGCTGCTCACTACATCCATCATCCCTCGCACATTCGCAACCCCAAAACGTACACATGTGCACACACCCTCCTCCCTGGCTGAGTTCGGCAAAGGCTGTCCTCAGGACTAGATCAAGACACCTTTCATGTTGCATCCTTCACTGTCTGAAGCACTAGCAAGGACATGGGACTTCAAGGTAAGCAGAGGAGCAGCGTTCAGGTGACCTGCAAGGCAGTGCCTGGTGCTCATCACTACTAGAGCTCTGCCCTCGGAGCAATGCAAACATAATTATGCTGCCCAAGTGCTCTAGGAGAGATGCCCCTTTCACTTAGTTCATTTTACTTCCTACTCTTGTGGGAAGCCTCCTCCCTGTAGTGCAAGTGGGTGGAATAGCTTCAGCCACAACCAGTTCTCTGGGCCAGCAGCTATTTAGGGAAGGTGCAGGTAAAGGCATGCCTGGGGCCCCCTCCTCTTTAGCCCACTTCTCTTGTAAGTGCCCTGATTTCCTTCTGCAGGCAAGCACTGCCTATGCGTTCCATATGGTTCCATATGCAGGTAGGCATTGAACACTCTTTTATGACAACACATGCATTGCAGCTGCCTTTGCTGCAAGGGAGTGATCAAGAGCCTCTGTTGAACCCTGGTGTGCTGCATGGGAGCTGTCAGAGAGGGATGAGGAGCCCTCCTCTACCCCATCCATAGCACACGGAGAACAAGACTGCTCCATCTCTGTCCCTGCTTCATTACATGCTCCACTAGCACCCGTGAATCACAGTGCAGTGAGCAGCAAGTGCTGGTGTCCTGGATGCTTCCTTCCCAGCAGCACATGGCAATCATCTGGTGGGAAGTGCTCCCTGGTTAATCTGGGATTAGCAATAGCTGGATTCGCATGAGAAACAGGCAACAGAATAAATCCCTGTCTTTAAAGGGGGTCCTCTGGTTAAAAACAAGCTGTCTTGCAGGAGGGCAGGGACAAGAAGAGGAAAGCATTCCTGGGGGGGGGGGGGGGGAATTTCCACCACAGCCCCATGACTGCACAGCCCCAGCAGCCCCAGGGTAAAAACTCCTCTGCACAAGGATAGAGCCTCTGCATCTGGATAAAGATCTTTTGGAACGATTTAGCCCCTCTGCACAAAGACGAGTTTATCCTGTATTTCTGGATCCTGGCATCTCCCCCCAGGGCTGTATCTACTTTCTAAACAGGGGAAAGGAATATGGATTTATCTCATGTGTGGCAGTCATAACACATTTGGATGGAGACTCCCACCAATGCCCAGCTAGGGCTTTGCTCATCTAAGTCAAAAAGGCACACAAACACCCAGGCCAGTATCACAGACACTGCACAGACAAGGTGCAAAAGATGCCCATTCAGACAGAGATGCTGTGAAGCACATCCATTCATGCTTGTTTTCTATTTCCCCACTGATATCAGATATGCAAGCAGGGTTAGCACTTAAATGAGATTTGAAGTCTCTTTCTCCAGTGCTGAATGTACTATGATCAATGCTTCACTCAGAACACAGTACCTCCTGCAGCTTCACTTTGTGTGTACATAGAAGTCTGCATATGAATCTGTGCGTATAAAACTAAAAGGTTGGTATTACTACCTCTTAGAGTGCACTGCGTATATAGAATGCATTAAAACACTTGTGTAGGTTAAGAGCTGCTGTTTTACACTTGGAGCTGGTCACCTTTCTGAAGAGCTTTTCATATAGAAGCAATAAATAGGCGCTGTGGAGGGCAGACGATACACCACCAGTGTGGAGTGCAGTGGGGGAGCTGCAAATTAGAGGAGAGCCCAGGAAGGAGCTGCATTAAAGATTCCACATCTCTGCTGCAAACAGGGATGCCTGATCTCTTTTTCTGCTCTATTCTGTCATGCTCTATTTTCTTTCTCTTTCTGGTGGATGGGAGGTGAGGTTTTAAAGCCTGCCAAGAATGCATCCAGCCTGCTCCTCTGGGTGAACAGCACCGTAGAACGAAATGAACTTTCTCCAAGCTTCCTCCCACCCCCAGATCCACCCCTCCCCCTTGTAATCCAGGCTCAAGTACCATCATTTTCATATCAGGACTAATTACATTAATTATTCTCCTCAGTACAAAACTCATTAAGCTGGAATTTATGGTTCATTAACTCGGAGCCAGAGATCTGCCTCGGTGCAGTAGTGTGGGGCCAGGATTATTTCTGCCCTGGCTGGGGCCAGGTTCTAATCCGTGTCCCTTGGCCACACTCAGCATCCCCTGCTGAAGTGTGAACAAAGCTGTGTGAGCTCGCACAGGAGCATTGCACCGGGCAGGAAGGTGTTTCTGAACCACATGAGGATGGAAAGGTCAACACCCCTGCTGCAGACCTAGTGTGAAATGCGTTCGGTTACAGTTCAGGGAAGATCAGGTGTGACGAGCAGGGTGAGAGCAGCCAAAGGAGCCCTTGCAGGCAGGCTACGTGCCAGGACTGCAACGAACGTGTTCAGTGGTGTGGGAAAAGGTTTGTACCAGTGCTTGGGAGATCCAGCTCCAAGTCACAGAGTTACTGTGAGCATGCGGTAGCCACACATGGTGCAGGATAGAGAGGACTTGCACTGCCTGACCTAATGCAACCTGTTTAGGTGGCTGGACAATAGTCAGGAGTGAGATGCTTCTCCAGAAAGACATCGTACCTACCTTGAGAGCAAGCTCTAATCACTTCCTTAACATGCCATGGACTGGAAAGGCCATCCTGGCTTATGCACAGACTCCCTGTGACTCAGTGGTAAAGCTATGGTGAGCACTTGCACTCTTATTGGGGGTGATGGTCACTGTCACCATCTCTCCCAGGGAAACCTCACTAACTAACAAACACTATTTTGCCTGATGAAGAGTAGCCAGGAGGGGCCTTTCAATGGGCCTGGTCTTGGAGTGCAAAAGCAGTCCTGGGAATGGGAAGGAAGGAAGGAAGGAAGATGGGAAGTTGCATGTCCCCTGCCTCGGACACGGCATCCAGTCCAGTGTGTTTCAGACAGGCCTCCCAAGCTCCCAGACTTGAGCATCATCTGCTGCCAGAGATGGAAGTGACAAAGCAGGCTCAGCTCCTAATGGACCCGACTGACAGAGAATCCATTTCCTGAGTGCGGTGCCTCCTTCACAGTGCGCAGGTTCCTACCATGCTCCTTAATTACTGTAATTAAGCAG